TAGGTATGTGTTGATAATCCTCGCTTGTTGAACGTGTGAGAGCTGTGTTGAGGTGCATTAAATTTAAGAGGATTACAGGTATATAGCCCACTTGTTTGATCCCTCTGCCCTGTCTGTCTGTCTGTCTGTCTGTCTGTTTGTTTCTCTCAGGGATAATTTCTATAACTAGGTATATCATATAATCGTGAGGGGGCCGTCGATGAGGAGGGGCCGTCCTAAGGCAGAAAAAGACGTACGTGTTAAAATTACCTTAGTAACTTTGGACCTAATGGAGCCACACCATAGGGGCGAGAATACCCCATCATACACGGGACACCTATACTAATTAGCCACAGGTATAACAAACATTAGGAGCTTATGACAATGTCCGCCAGATCATCTTTCTGGGCCATCACTAAACACAACATATTTTGTTTTTTGTCATAATTATCTACTGTGAGTGACGTGAGGTAAGGCAGCACTACTGAGAGACGTGAGGTAAGGCAGCACCTCACTGAGAGACGGAGGGGAGGGCACCACTGAGAGAGGAGGTAAGGCGGCACCTCACTGAGAGACGTGGAGGTAAGGCGGAACCTCACTCTAAGAATACTTTGATTCTTTCATTTGTGGACTGATGTAATGTGTTGATAGTGGGTGGTGTGGGTGTTGACTGATGGTGGTGAGTGGTGAGTGGTGGTATGAGTGGTAAGGCTGGTGGTGTGAGTGGTGTTGACTGATGGTGGTGGAGTGGTGTTGACTGATGGTGGTGAGTGGTGTTGACTGATGGTGGTGAGTGGTGTTGACAGATGGTGGTGAGTGGTGTTGACTGATGGTGGTGAGTGGTGTTGACTGATGGTGGTGAGTGGTGTTGACAGATGGTGGTGAGTGGTGTTGACTGATGGTGGTGAGTGGTGTAGGAGAGTGTCATCACCCTGTACAACTGCCCTCACATTACACCTATAGTCCTGTAGTTGTGGTAGTGGTCACGGATCAGTGCGTGGATTAGTTGTGGTCACGGATCAATGCGTGGATTAGTTGTGGTAGTGGTCACGGATCAGTGTGTGGATTAGTTGTAGTGGTCACGGATCAATGCGTGGATTAGTTACCTAGCATCCAAAGCTCCTGTGACGGGTTTATTGTCAATAAAACCCGCTAATTCATATCTCACCTTGACAGCCACTCTCCCTCTTTCTCAATAACTGGGGAGAGCCTGCCCAGTATTAACTCCCGGTAGTTGATGAGTAATCCCGGTAGTTGATGAGTAATCCCGGTAGTTGATGAGTAATCCCGGTAGTTGATGAGTAATCCCGGTAGTTGATGAGTAATCCCGGTAGTTGATGAGTAATCCCGGTAGTTGATGAGTAATCCTGGTAATTGATGAGTAATCCCGGTAATTGATGAGTAATCCCGGTATACTGGAGGTAATTAGTGGAGCCTGGAGCAAATAAATCCATCTAGAGCTAATTGGTTCAGTAGGGATTTATCTAATATAGAGCTAAATAATCCATGTAGGTACGTCTTTTTGTCTTGAGTGTATTTAATTACCTCAGGTGAGAGCTATGTAATCCAGATGGGAGGTAGATAATGTAGGAGAGAGCTAATTAATCTAAGTGACGTAATTAATCCAGGTGAGAACTAATTAATATAGGTGAGGTAATTAATCCAGGTAAGAACTAATGAATCTAAGTGAGGTAATTACGGGTAAGAACTAATTAATCTAAGTGAGGTAATTACGGGTAAGAACTAATTAATTTAAGTTAGGTAATTAATCTAGATGAGAACTAATTAATCTAAGTGGTATGACTTCCTGTAGTGTAATATCATCAACGTTTAACTAATTACTAGAACCACGATACGGATTATGTTCCCTTGAAGCCTCCATCTAAGTGTGGCTGAGTGTGGCTAGGGAATTAAGGGAGATTAGATGATGTGGTGTAGTGGTCACATGATGTGGTGTAGTGGTCACATGATGTGGTGTAGTGGTCACATGATGTGGTGTAGTGGTCACATTGAATATTGCAGGCTAAAATGTCCCCACTACATATTCTACAAAATCTACAGTGATACATTTTAGTCGAGAAATATCCCAGATTAAGATGTTTTAGGTGGATATTTCTGTAGCTTAAGAAATATATACGTGAGCCATAACTGCTTACCTTAAATTTGGGGTCAATTGTGTCAAGGGACTTTTACTGCAGTAGCTGAAACGCCATTGAAGCTCACGGGTCCTGAACATGACACAAGTTAAACGTGTCATAAACGTGTACATCAAGAATCAAAACATTTTGGGCCTAAAATATTATTGAGGGGAGATTTTTTTTTAATTCACCTTAAGGCGTCGTATTCATTCACCCTAAGGCCGACGTCTCATTCACCCAAAGGCGTCGTACGGTATTCACAGGCCAAACCAGACAACATTCTCAAACCTGGATATCAAAACTGCCCAAGACAAACTAAAACATCAGATGGTAATACCGTTGCCTTCACTTGTACATTTATATCTCCCAATGATTTCCAATTCTTCCCGAGCGTGAACTACGGAGGAAATTTCAACACCCAAATACTTCCTGGTGATTTATGAAGCAAAATACTCCTCTCGTGATTTATGAAGCAAACGTAACTAGTTATTGACTGTTGGTGACATTTGCGATCTTGCTCACAACACCTCCACGTTGTTATGTTGCTGGGCTGTATATATTGTGTTGTCGAAACGTTGTGTTGCTCGAACGTTTGTTATGTTGTCTAAACGTTGGATATGTTGCTCGAATGTTTGTTATGTTGTCGAAACGTTGGATATGTTGCTCGAACGTTTGTTATGTTGTCTAAACGTTGGATATTTTGCTCGAACGTTTGTTATGTTGTTGGAAAGTTGGATATGTTGCTCGAACGTTTGTTATGTTGTCTAAACGTTGGATATGTTGCTCGAACGTTTCATGTGTTACTGAAATGTTTGTTTGTATTACTGGAACGTTTGTTTGTATTACTGGAACGTTTGTTTGGTTACTGTCACTTTCCTAGTGTTGCAAGGAAGGGGTGCTGGTGAGTACCTGTCTCCCATTCCTTTCTCCCCTCTCACACTTCCCTCCTCACTGTATCTCTTCTCTCCCTCCTCTCCTCTACTCCCTCTTACATACTCCTTCTCACTCTTCTCAGCAATACTCCAGTGACTCTACCACTACCTACCACCACCCCCTGTTGCCCACTCAATACTCTCACAATACCTGTCACTCAACACCTGTCTACCTGTCTATGCCACTCCTTTTCTTTACTGTCATTCGGAGTAAGATTATAAGTATATCATGGAACAGTGTAAGGATGAATTTATTGTTAGGTGTGAGAGAGCAGATAATTATTACCAGCCTCACACCTCCCATCACGACTCTATACAATAACCTGACTTTAAATTCTCTACTTGTGATTTTGACTAAGAAAACTGCTCGGCCTTCTCCTACGACACTACGATATATAAACAATGGTCCTGTGTGTGTGTGTGTGTGTGTGTGTGTGTGTGTGTGTGTGTGTGTGTGTGTGTGTGTGTGTGTGTGTGTGTGTGTGTTGGTGGGATAGGTTTGTTTGGGTTAGTTGAGAGATATGTTGTAGCTCAGTAAGCTTTGTTGAAATAAATGACGCTCTTTCCCACCCCCGAGCGGTCTGTTGCCTCACAATGACTAAAGGAAACAAGTTGGAAATCTTATCTTTGCTGTAATCAATGGAAATATATCACCTGCTCTCTATTGTATGGTAGATAATTGTAAAGGTATATTATTAGCTAATTGACTCGTTTACCTGTGGACACTAATCACCTCATCTCACCTGTTAGTATTAGCTAATTGACTCGTTTACCTGTGGACACTAATCACCTCATCTCACCTGTTAGTATATCTGCTGTAGTTTGTCTGTGCTGTTCTTGTATCAAAACAATACCAGATAAATTTATTTTCTTTTCGTTCATTATTGTTTTTGTTATTAATATAGAATTTTAGACAATATAATGTACCAAGAGTGTGGGGCTTGACCCTTTGCTTACCTTAAATCAATCCTACAGAACTTTTCTATCTGCAGTTTAGAGGACCATGACATATACTGTGCTACATAACTCAACATACTGTGCTACATGACTCAACATACTGTGCTACATGACTCAACATACTGTGCTACATAACTTTCAACATACTGTGCTACATAACTCAACATACTGTGCTACATAACTCTCAACATACTGTGCTACATAACTCAACATACTGTGCTATATAACTCAACATACTGTGCTACATGACTTAACATACTGTGCTACATAACTCAACATACTGTGCTACATAACTCTCAACATACTGTGCTACATAACTCTCAACATACTGTGCTACATGACTCAACATACTGTGCTACATAACTTTCAACATACTGTGCTACATGACTCAACATACTGTGCTACATAACTCAACATACTATGCTACATGACTCAACATACTACAGCATAACTTGACCAGCTGCTGTGCCCCCATGTAGCTAAATTCAGCCCATCCTCATCAAATGCCGCCCCACCTCGCCTAGCCTCCCCCATCCCACCCACCCCACCCCACGCCACCCCACCCACCCCACTCACCCCACAACACCCACCACCCACCCACCCCACCAAAAAAAAAAAAACATGCCTACCCAACCCATCCCACCTCCACCCACCCCACCCCACCCCACCCCCACCCCACCCAGCCTTCTCCTATCATTATGGTGGTTTATAGGAGAGGGATCTCACGGGAATCAAACCAGTATCTACACCGACCTGAGACGTGACTGAGGTCCGAATCCCCTGGAGGAGGTGCAGCGCTGAACCCCTGAACCATTGAACCCCTGAACCATTGAACCCCTGAACCTCTCACTGATGGTTCCCAGAGAAGGAGTCCATTCACCACCACCCAGGAAGCACCAGGCCCTCCATCTCCCACCTAGGGAAGCACCAGGCCCTCCATTCCACCTCCCCCCTTTTCACCCAGGGAAGCACCAGGCCCTCCATTTTCACCCAGGAAGCACCAGGCCTCCATCTTCACCTAGGGAAGCACCAGGCCCTCCATCTCACCTAGGGGCACCAGACCACCCATATCCGCAGGAAGCACCAGACCACCCATATCCACCCAGGAAGCACCAGACCTCCATCCACCCAGGAAGCACCAGGCCTCCATCTCCACCCAGGGAAGCCCATATCCATCTCAGGAAGCACCAGACCACCCATATCCACCCAGGGAAGCACCAGACCTCCATCTCCACCCAGGGAAGCACCAGGCCCTCCATCTCCACCCCACCAGGAAGCAGGAAGCACCAGGCCCTCCATCTCCACCCAGGGGGCACCAGGCCCTCCATCTCCACCCAGGAAGCACCAGGCCCATCCATCACCTGTAGGAAGCACCAGACCACCCATATCCACCCAGGAAGCACCAGGCCCTCCATCTCCACCCAGGGAAGCACCAGGCCACCCATATCCACCCAGGGAAGCACCAGGCCCTCCATTTTCACCTAAGGGACACCAGACCTCCATCTCCACCCAGGGAACCACCAGACCACCCATATCCACCCAGGGAAGCACCAGGCCCCTCCATCTCCACCCAGGGAAGCACCAGACCCTCCATCTCCACCCAGGGAAGCACCAGGCCACCCATATCCACCCAGGGAAGCACCAGACCCTCCATCTCCACCCAGGGAAGCACCAGGCCACCCCTCCACAGGGAAGCACCAGGCCCTCCATTTTTCACCTAGGAAGCACCAGACCCTCCATCCAGGGAAGCACCAGGGAAGCACCCACCCCACCACCACCCAGGAAGCACAGACCCTCCTTCTTCAACTGAGGGAAGCACCAGACCACCACCACCCAGGAAGCACCAGACCACCCATATCCACCCAGGGAGGCCCTCCATCTCCACCCAGGGAAGCACCAGGCCCTCCATCACCACCCAGACCACCCATCTCCAACCAGGGGCCCTCCATATCCACTCAGGAAGCATGACCTCCATCTTCACCTAGGGAAGCACCAGACCACCCTCTCCACCCAGGAAGCACCAGACCCTCCATATCCACCAGAAGCACCACACCCCATCACCTAGGAAGCACCAGACCATCCATCTCCACCCAGGGAAGCACCAAGACCACTCCATATCCACCCAGGGAAGCACCAGGCCCTCCATCTCCACCCAGGAAGCACCAGACCCTCCATATCCACCCAGGGAAGCACCAGGCCTCCATCTTCACCTAGGAAGCACCAGACCACCCATCTCCACCCAGGGCACAGCCACCCATCTCCACCCAGGGCCCAGACCCTCCATACCCAGAGCACCAGACTCCACCAGGGAAGCACCAGGCCCCTCCATCTCACCTAGGGGCCCACCAGACCACCCATCTCCACCACACCAGGACCCTCCAATCCACTCAGGGAAGCACCCCCTCCATCTTCACCAGGGAAGCACCAGACCACCCATATCCACTCAGGAAGCACCAGGCCCTCCATCTCCACCCAGGAAGAAGCACCAGGCCCTCCATCCATCTCACCCTGGGAAGCACCAGACCACCCATCTCCACCAGGGAAGCACCAGGCCTCCATCTCCACCCAGGGAAACACCAGACCTCCATATCCACTCAGGAAGCACCAGGCCCTCCATATCCACCTAGGGGCACCAGGCCCTCCATCTTCACCTAGGGAAGCACCAGACCACCATCTCCACCCAGGAAGCACCAGACCACCCATATCCACTCAGGGAAGCACCAGACCTCCATCTCCACCCAGGGAAGCACAGACCCTCCATAGTCACAGGAAGCACCAGGCCCTCCATCTTCACCTAGGAAGCACCAGACCACCCATCTCACCCAGGGAAGCACCAGACCCTCCATATCCACTCAGGGAAGCACCAGGCCCTCCATCTTCACCTAGGGAAGCACCAGACCACCCATATCCACCAGGGAAGCACCAGGCCCTCCATCTCCACCCAGGAAGCACCAGGCCCTCCATATCCACTCAGGAAGCACCAGGCCCTCCATCTTCACCTAGGGAAGCACCAGACCACCCATATCCACTCCAGGAAGCACCAGACCCTCCATCTCCACCCAGGGAAGCACCAGGCCACCACCACCCAGGGAAGCACCAGACCCTCCATCTCCACCCAGGGAAGCACCAGACCCTCCATCTCCACCCAGGAAGACCAGACCTCCATCTCCACCCAGGGAAGCACCAGGCCCTCCATCTTCACCTAGGGAAGCACCAGGCCCTCCATCTCCACCTAAGGGAAGCACCAGGCCACCGCCACCACCCAGGGAAGCACCAGGCCACCCATCATCATAATCATCACTGAGTTGATCGAAAAACACTCCTCAGCTCTTCTATTATAAACAATCTAACACTAGAGACTTTACCTAACTTAACCTAACCTAACCTAACCTGAACTAACCTTACCTAATCTGAACTAACCTAACCTAATCTAACCTAACCTAACCTAACCTAACCTAACCTAACCTGAACTAACCTAACCTAACCTAACTTAACCTAACCTAACCTGAACTAACCTAACCTCACCTAACCAGGTATTGGATCATTTAATTAAGACCAATAATTACCTGTAATACACTTATTGAATTACCTGTAATACACCTGTTGAATTATATCATTTGGATCAGATTAAAAAGCTTTCCTGATTAAAATTTGGATCACGTGATTACTGGAGCTTTTATTTATTGTTTTGGTATATCGTTACTGCTGGGGCTATTGTTTTGATATGTCGTTACTGATGGGACTATTGTTTTGATATATGGTTACTGATGGATGCTATTGTTTTGATATATCATTACTGATGGAGCTATTGTTTTGATATATCGTTACTGATGGAGCTATTGTTTTGATATATCGTTACTGATGGAGCTATTGTTTTGATATATCTTTACTGTTGGATCTATTGTTTTGATATATCGTTACTGATGGAGCTATTGTTTTGATATATCGTTACTGATGGAGCTATTGTTTTGATATATCGTTACTGATGGAGCTATTGTTTTGATATATCGTTACTGATGGAGCTATTGTTTTGATATATCGTTACTGATGGAGCTATTGTTTTGATATATCGTTACTGATGGATGCTATTGTTTTGATATATCGTTACTGATGGATGCTGTTGTTTTGATATATCGTTACTGATGGATGCTGTTGTTTTGATATATCTTTACTGTTGGATCTATTGTTTTGATATATCGTTACTGATGGATGCTATTGTTTTGATATATCGTTACTGATGGAGCTATTGTTTTGATATATCGTTACTGATGGATGCTATTGTTTTGATATATCGTAACTGATGGATGCTATTGTTTTTTGATATATCCTTACTGATGGAGCTATTGTTTTGATATATCGTTACTGATGGATGCTATTGTTTTGATATATCGTTACTGATGGAGCTATTGTTTTGATATATCGTTACTGATGGAGCTAATGTTTTGATATATCGTTAGTGATGGATGCTATTGTTTTGATATATCGTTACTGATAGGGCTATTGTTTTGATATATCGTTACTGATGGGGCTATTGTTTTGATATATCGTTACTGATGGAGCTATTGTTTTGATATATCGTTACTGATGGATGCTATTGTTTTGATATATCGTTACTGATGGAGCTGTTGTTTTGATATATCGTTACTGATGGATGCTATTGTTTTGATATATCGTTACTGATGGATGCTATTGTTTTGATATATCGTTACTGATGGAGTTATTTTTTGATATATCGTTACTGATGGAGCTATTGTTTTGATATATCGTTACTGATGGAGTTATTTTTTGATATATCGTTACTGATGGAGCTATTGTTTTGGTATTTTGTTATCATAAAGTTATTCCTTAGTCTAATTAGCTCACTTTTCTTCACCAGATCTTGTTGAGGTATATCAGCTACTTAACTAATAGTGTAAATAACTCACTTTTCTGTCTCTATTTTGTTGATTTCTTCATTTTCTTATGTTATTGTTATTGTTATTGTTATTGTTATTATTCGTCTTTGGTGTTTCTCAGACGAACATAGAGTTAAGGGGAGTTGTGAGACCAGATATTGAGGATGTAATGTAGTTTTTGACGAATTCGTATAGAGGTGGTTGGTTGGTTGGTTGGTTGATTGGTTGGTTGGTTGATTGGTTGGTTGGTTGATTGGTTGGTTGGTTGGTTGATTGATTGGTTGGTTGGTTGGTTGGTTGATTGGTTGGTTGGTTGGTTGGTTGGTTGGTTGGTTGATTAGTTGGTTGGTTGGTTGGTTGGTTGATGGCTTGATTGATTGATTGATTGATTGTAGTATTGCCACTCTGGCGGCTTGTAATATAAGACTAAGCCCCCTCTTCCTCGTGTCCTCCCTCCACCCCCCCCTCCCCGTGTCCCCCTCCCCGTGTCCCCCCTCCCTGCGTCCCCCCTCTCCGCGTCCCCCCTCCCTTTGTCCCCGCTCCTCTGTGAGACATTCCATTCCTACTGTTTCTCTGGCCAGGTTGTCCCCGTCTCAGTCTGTCGTCCATGATGTCCAAATTCTGATTCTAATCCGCGACAGGTGTGTTCTAATCCGAGACAGATGTTTTAATCCGAGACAGGTGTGTTCTTAATCCGCGACAGATGTGTTCCTTTATGCTTGGGTAAATTAACAATATTTATCGAGTGTTTCAAAACAACCAAACTCTTTATATCATACATCATTAGCGAGGTTATTGGGAACAGTCATTACTACATTCCAAAGGTTGCCGATAGAGGTCGTGTTTTGGTTATTGTTATGTTTAACTTTTGACCTTTAGTGACCTTATTACCTGTCCTGTCTCATTGTTGTTGTTTATATTTCACGTAAATACAACAAGGTCAACTATGCTGGTATGTGTTAATCCTGTGTCTGATATAATGAGTTTTGTTTCACTCTCACTATTGCCAGTTTTTGTCATAAGTTCCAACAATGATGATTTTGAGCAGAGAATAATATAGAAGAGATTGTTATTTCTTTTGTTTGTGGATTTAATGAAATATTAACAAGGTTGTAATGACGGGTTGCTACTGGTTGGTAAACAGGTTGAAGGGAGATTACTTGTGTGTGAACCAGCAGAAGTGAACCGTGAACCAGGGAGACGAACCACAACACGATCCCCTCACAGGCGTTATGTCTCCACCACACACAAATGTTAAATAACCGTAGTAATTCCAAGGCTGAAAACAAATACGACACAACCACGCAATAACCAGGCAAAAGCTTTCAACAAAAAGGCAATAACCAGAAACCAAGCAGACAGTGAGCAGCCACCTGCAGGCGTGGCGCGTCAAGTATAAAGATGAGCAGCGTCCAGCATCACATCTCGTAATATAAAACAGGGCGGCGTTGGCCACCCTCAATGAGTCCCAAGAGTACAAATGATATTACCAAAAATGTACAAAAATACCTATTGTGAGGCCATGTAAAATTAGCGTGGCGAGTTATGGGGCCCCGGCCGCCACTTTATACTGCTCGTCCTCATGAAATGTGTCTTAAAATCTTACGTTTACTGCTGCCTCCATGTTGCTACCTGGCCACGCCTGCATTACTGAGAAGGGCCACCTGGCCACGCCCACATTACTGAGGAGAACCACCCGGCCACGCCTGTGCTGTATGCTCAGGAGATCCACTTGGCCACACCCACATTATTGAGGAAGGCCACCTGGCCACATCCACATTACTGAGGGCCACCGGACCATCCCCACATTACTAAAAACCTGGCCACGTCCACATTACTGAGGGCCACAGAGCCATCCCCACATTACTAAGGAGGGCTACTTGGTCACACCCACATTACTGAGGAAGGCCACCTGGCCACACCCACATTACTGAGGAAGGCCACCTGGCCACACCCACATTACTGAGGATGGTCACCGACCACGGTCATATTACTAAGGAGGGCCACTTGGCCACACGAACAGCACTGAGAAGAGCCACTTGTTCACGTCTTCAGTTTTGAGGAGGAGCAACACACGCACACGTTACTGAGAGAGGCTCCCGGCCCTCTCCACAACACTGAGGGCCACCTGGCCATAATAACAGTACTCAGGACGGTCATCAACAAACAACTGTTCTGACGACGCTACTGTAGATGCACAGTACTGAGGAGGGCCACATGGCCACATCCACAGGTTTTGAGGAGGGTCACATGGCCATTTATCTAGGTTTGAAGAGGGCCATATATTACATACAATAAGTGTTAATGATTTGAAGAATATTTGCATCATTAGCCAACTGTGATTTGTTACTGTAGCTGTAACGTCGCAGCCCCGTCACTCACCCCTGTGTGACGCCCCACCTCACCCCTGTGGCGCCCGTCCGCTGCCCCTGTGTGACGCCCCACCTCACCCCTGTGTGAGGCCCGCCACCTGTGTGACGCCCCGTCACTCACCCCTGTGTGACGCCCGTCACCCCCACCCTGTGCGGCATGCCCTCACTGCACCTCACCCCTGTGTGACGCCCCGCCACTCACCCTGTGTGACGCCCGCCACTCACTGTGACGCCCGCCACTCACCCCTGTGACGCCCCGCCACTCCACCCCTGTGTGACGCCCGCCACTCACCCCTGCGTGACGCCCGCCTCACCCCTGTGTGACGCCCTGCCTCACCCCGTGGGAGGCCCGCCACACCCCTGTGACGCCCGTCTCCACCCCAGTGTGACGCCCCTTTACTGTGTGACTCCCCGCCTCACCTGTGTGGACGCCCCGCCTCACTTCTGTGACGCCCTGCCTCACCCCTGTGTGACGCTCCGCCTCACCCCTGTGCGCCCGCCTCATCCCTGTGACGCCCCACCTCACCCGTGTGACGCCCGCCTCATCCCTGTGTGACGCCCCTTTCATCCTGTGTGACGCCCCGCCTCACTCCCTGTGTGACCCCTGCCTCACCCGTGTGACGCCCCGCCTCATCCTGTGTGACGCCCCGCCTCATCCCTGTGTGACGCCCGCCTCATCCCTGTGTGACGCCCCGCCTCATCCCCTGTGACGCCCCGCCTCACCCCTGTGTGACGCCCCGCCTCATCCCTGTGTGACGCCCCGCCTCTTATAAATGAATAACAATAATGATGAAATGTTTTTCCCAGTGAATTATAAAATAAATAAATGAATAAATATTGTAAACCTCAATTAAAGAAGACGATACAACGTTTTCTAGAAGGTGATGACAAAGATAGTCTCTCCTACCCTCTCCCCCTCCCATCCCCTCCCCTCCTCCCTTCCCCTCCTCCCTTCCCTCTCTCCCTCCCCTCCCCCTCCTTCCCCCTCCCCCCTCCCTTCCCTCTCTCCAGCCCATGAGAAAATACAAGCAAACGAC